TTGCAACACAATAAGGTCATATAAGTGCCGAAGATTAGAGGTGTTATAAGAGAGTAACAAACATTAAAAAGAATGTAGGGGGAGGGGGTGATAGAGATGATAGATTTTTTAAAGGAAAGAAGGAGCAGGCCACTCCAGAGCACCAGCCAACCGCCCCCTTTCTTATCTCTAAACATGTGAGCATGCACATTTTCCTCTTAAACAATTTATCAAGTCGCTGAAGTTCAATTAACGGGCGTCTGTCTTTGGTGTAGCTGTAGGGTACTTTGCCGGGGCACGCAGAAGACCGAGGTTCGATTCCCGTGTGTTGGGAGTTCTTTTTTAATCGAGTATCTCATTCTCTCTTCTGGGGACGTTACATCCCTCTCAGCCCGAGTTGGCCCGGACAGGTAGTGTCGAGAAACTCGCCTCCTGAATGATCTAACTTGTAAGAACACTAACATAAACAGAAAAAACCACAATAAAATATACTAAGGACAATATTCAAGATCTGAGAGTTCTTTTTCTTTTTTTGTGTGTGCGTGGAAATGTTTTACGGCGCTCGCAACTGCATACGGTCATATGAGCACCGGGGTTCTAAGAGTTCGTCTCATCCCCTCGTGAAAAAAAAGACATACGTTCCTAATCTCATGTGGAGTATCTAGAGTACATCCCTCTGTCTGCAATATCATTATTATTATTACTTACCACTCGACTCAGTTCGGGTTAGCCCCGACAGACTGGGTTAAAGCAGACAGCTGTTTAAATCAACACAAGTTAATTGTGTCTACAGCCAAGTGAAACGTTTACGATAATGACAACCATTACGTAAAACATTAACGAAACAAAACTGCAATTGTATCGTCCTAACGATGAGCACAGGTTTTTAAATTTTTTATTATATTTTTTTAATTTTTACATTTAAAGACCCTGCATTATCGTCATGGTGTAAGATCGAGAAGAAGACGAGTTTACGATTCCCTCTGCTTAAGTTGAAATCTATATGCCTGAAACGTCGGCCGGAAGAAATAAATCACAACAGCTCTAGGACTCTCGTTTCGTTACTGTTTCGTGGTTTTGCACTCAGAAAGTCTCCAGTCTCAATAAAACTACATGTAATGTTTCTGTGTCGGCGGGGTTTCGGTGTCGGCGTATCGTTT